TTTTTGAGACTAATTTGAATTCGGTTCTTTCTTCTTCAGACCTCCATATTGATGGCTACTATTCTTTGATTTGTAAAGACTTCAATAGTCGCATACTTGGCTTGGGCGTATAATTGCGCATCATTTCACCTAATTTGGTGCAAAGATCAAGCATAACTCTTTTATGCGCATCTGGCCACTCTTTTATGTGCATCTGCTCCGCCTCTCTTTACTCTTTTTTTTTTTTTTTTTTTTTTTTATTATTCAACCATATCAATAAAAATTTACAAATCTCAAAATTGTAAATTAATAGAATATGGTTATGTGTCACTCGTATAGTTACAAACTAGTCAATGGAGTGACACCTAAAAAACATAAAATTCTCTAAAAAATGAAGAAACAAAGAAGTTAATATATATATATATATATATATATATATATATATATATATATATATATATATATATATATATATATATATATATATAGAGAGAGAGAGAGAGAGAGAGAGAGAGAAATCCACTCCAACAATATATTTTTAAATTGAATTCTGTTGAGCAGTAAATAATCCGAAACAAGGGGATATTTTTTTATACTTTTTTATTAATGCGAGAATACACTGGTTCCATTGTAAAACTTTACAAGATCATGGAGTTTCAAGATTTTTAGTTCAGAAATTTTTTTTTGCATATCAGATCTCATTGGTAAAAATGTCATCATTCTAATAGATGCGCGTTTTAAACTAGCAATTCTATTAAGTAAAAAGTTTCTTTTTTGACCCCAAACAACACAACAGTTGCGAAGGTGAGAAGAGAATAAAGAAGAATAAATCATTCGAAGATTTTGGATAGAAACATAGAAACAAATTAGAGAGAGCATACTTGTTAGCTCGTGTAAGTTTTTTTTTAAGATGATAAAGTTGATTATACTAAGATAGGTTTTCATAAAGATATATTCCAAGATACTTTATATTTTTTGCCGGAAAAAGTTTTTTCCCCTTAATTAAACTTTAATATTATCAATAGTTTTTTGAGGGGAATTAAAAAAAAACGTATTCAGTTTTATTGATATTCAATGAAATACGATTACTATTTAACCAGTTACATAAGCAATGAAAATCTTAATTAACTTTTTTACAAAGATTCGCAAATGATTTGTTGACATATAAAAGAGTGGTATCATCAACATAATGATGTACCTAAGAATTTTTTAATGAACATGATGAATTATTTATATATAATAAAAACAATAACAGAATCTTATGGAACGCTATATTTATTAACTATATTTGTGGATTCAAATTCATTAATTGAAACAAACTGAGTGCGAATCCTTATATTTGAAGAAATCAAATGATTAGCAATACCACGTATTCCATAGTAGTTTAACTTTTTTATTAGAATGTTGTGATCAACAGTATCAAAGGCTTTTTGAAGATCTATGAATCACAAGCAAAAGAACCACTGTTAATTGTAACACGAATCATTCCTAATGCATGAATCATTCCTAATGCTAATAAGAGCATGAGAAGTGGAGTGATTTGAGCGAAACGTATATGAAATTGTCGTATATGAAAACAAGCAGAATTATTCAAAAAGTTGTAAATACGAGAATACATAAGTTTTTCTAAAAATTTGCTGACAATTGATTATAATGAAATTGGTCTGTAATTATTGCATTCAAGTTTTATGTTTTTTTTATGAATTGGAATAATAGAAGCAGTTTTAAAATATCAGGGAATACACCGGTGATGAATAACAGATTAAATAGTTCAGAAAGTACAGGAGAAATCATTTGCAAGAGCTTTAAAAATAGGAATTAAAATGCTGTTAGGTCCCCAAACCTTGCTGTCATTAAGATAATGAATAACAATTAATACTTGGTTTTTGTCTGTAGGTTTTATGAATATTGATTTAAGGATTAGGATTTTTTAAGATATTTATTAAAAGTCAGTATTGGATGAGTGAATCTTTTTCTGTAATTCTTCCGGAACTGAAACATAGAATGAATTAAAAGATTCCGAAACTTTAATGGGGTCATATATCATGGGGTTGTTAGAAGATAAGCAGAAAAGATATAAGTTAACTCTCGAACTAATGTTTAAAAGATTCCTAATACCATCCTATGTAGATTTTGTATTTTTGACATTATCAGAGAAGAACTTAGAGTAATGGTTCTTTTTACTATATTTAATTTTTTAATTGATATTATTATAACCCTCTTCTTTTAATTTACTTTATTATTATTATATGATTGCTTTTATTACTTAATTGGTGTTTACCTTAGATTGGTACTCGTACTATTAGTAAGCAATCGTTAAATGTAAACTTTTATTTTAGAATATACTTTGATATTGTTTTTTTTTTTTTTTTTTTAGGTGCCCGAAGAAGTCCTTACAGTCTTATTACAGAGCACCGTGGATGAGCATTTAATTGGAAGTTCACGCCTCTTTCTTAACCGATGTCGCAAAACATGCCCAAAGGTGGGTGTGAACCACGGATCCTTTGCTTCTGAGGCAAGTGCGCTACCACTGCGTCACGGCTGCTCATTGTTATTGTTACATTAGGAAATTGTGTGCAAGAATTCTTGCTTCTAGAAGCAAGCACTTTGAATTTGCTGATTTGTATTGAAAAATACTTTCATAAACAAGAAAATAATTTACTTTTTCTTCCCAATGCTACTGATATGACATTTTTCTAAAAAAACGAAAAAGGGGAATTGAACAAAAAAAAGTTTAGGAACCACTGCTTTAAACAATCAAGTCAATTCCCTTGGCAACGCGGAATCGCCGTTCTGTTATTTTTCCTTTGATATAATGTTGTCCTCGAGATCCGACAACTCTAACAATAAACAAATCAGATGAAAAGCATTTCAAAATTTATTTACAATAATTATTGCAAGTTTAAAAAATTTCTAGTTTAGTATGGGGGATGAAAACATTTATCCCTCAATTAACTCCGAATCTGTCGATGAAAGAATACTTGCAAGAAGACAAAGAATAGAAAAAACACTCGAAGAACGTAAAAAGTGACTTAAAATTATTTTTTGTGAGGATAATCATTAATAAACGTCAATCTTTAATATAGAAAAGAAAAATGCTTTAAAATTAAATGCTTATAGCAGCCAAATAAATTCTTTTTTTATTAAATTGTTTTTATTTATAGTTTTTTTTAAATTTGTATAGAATTTGCTAATTCAAATAATTTATTTCATAAATAAATAATATTTTCACAAATGTACAATTTTTTTTTGTGTATAAAAGTAAAAAATTCATAAGATTTGTCATATAATAAAATATAATTTGTCATATTTTAGAGGTTTTTTACCAAAAGATCAGCAAAGTGAAAAGAATAAAGAGTTTTTGAAAAGCGAAACTCAAATTATACAAAGCAACCAAGTGAGTGAATTTTATGTTATATATATATATATATATATATATATATATATATATATATATATATATATATATATATATATATATATATATATATATATATATATATATATATATATATATAAATGTTTATATATACATGTACATTTATATACTTATATATTTATATATACATATACATATATATATATATATATATATATATATATATATATATATATATAATATATATATATATATATATATATATATATATATATATATATATATATATATATATATATATATATATAAATGTTTATATATACATGTACATTTATATACTTATATATATATGTATATATATATATATATATATATATATATATATATATATATATATATATATATAAATAAATATATATATATATATATATATATATATATACATATATATATATATATATATATATATATAAATATATATGTATATATATACATATACATTTATATATTTATATACATATATATATAACTATTATATAATATATATATATATATATATATATATATATATATATATATATATATATATATATATATATATATTAGTAAAAACACTTATCTAATATTTCCTTTGACAGGCTGTTTCTACTTCTGTAGGTTCATCAGGAAGCTTTTCTGATGAGCCTGCAGATAAAGAAAAAGCCTTTTTAGGAAAAAATTAGATAATTGTTTTTACTGATTTATTATTGCTTTGTTCTTTAAAAACATTGAGCACAATGTTTGTAGAATACACTAACATAGTATATATATAACATAGTATATATATATATATATATATATATATATATATATATATATATATATATATATATATATATATATATATATATATATGTATATATGTATATATATATATATTTATATACAGAGTGTTAACCAGGAATAAATTTGATACAGCGTTTTAACGAAATTGGGAAATTGTCAAAGTATTTCTCAATCACCCCCCTCCCCTGATATTAAAATTTGTTGTGGGAAAGCATGGGGTCCTTTTTTGGTGTTCTTTTTTTTTCTACTCTACTTCAGCGCTGCATACATTGATTGATCAGCGCCAAAAATAAAATAGAATACCATCTGTATCATTAAAGATGAATATGAAATCAACACAAAATTAGCTGTTGTTTCACAATGACACAGCAAACTAAGAACCGATTTCCGAACATATATTAGGAATGATATATTTTTTTATTATAAAATAATCAGTGTATATTAATTATTATTGAGAATAATTAATTTGATTTATTTTTAATCTTTATATATTGTTGCCGCTTACATTTCAAGAGTATTATTTTGAATATATATTTCTTTTTCAATGTAATATAGTAAAATAGCGATCTCCAATGAGCCAATGATCTTCTACTTCTAATTATTGTTTAAATTCTGCTTAACGTACTTTACGGACGAACTCTTACATCATCATTTAATAAATTGTGTTATCAAATGCGTGTCTTCTAAGAATACCAGTAAAAAAGTAAAAAACTTTAGCAAATTCAGTTGATATAAAATCAAAAAAAAAAAAAAACATTAACTAAAAGACTTTCCGTAATAACCGTAATTGATCAAAAGGTATCTGACATAACCTTTTCGATGTTTTTGTTGACGAAATACATTTACTACTTAAATTTGAGTTTACGGTAAGACTTAATAAGTTATTTAACTTTTTAGCCAAAAAGGGAGAAACTTTTAAAGAAATAGCATTTGCGGATGTTAAACCAAACAAGTTTGTTATTATTTTGGATCTTTTAGATAAGTACTTTATTTCTTGCTAACTTTTTTATATAATATTTGCTGTTGTTGGAATGCATTGCAAAAAACTATTTTCAAACTTTATTGCAAGTTGCCACAAAAATCCCAAAAATTGCTCCAAAAATCCCAATTCTCATGATGTTTTTTTCCAAGAAATTTTCGCAGTTATGCAATTGCGTTTTTTTTATCAATAATGGCGATTTGATTTCATGTTTTACGCAATTAATGAATTAGAATTTTTTAATGTTATTTTTCTATTAGTTTTGAATAATAATTGATTTTAAATTATTTTTAGAAATATTATTAAACTTTAATTTGGAACCTTTATTTGGAGAATGGGACTTTTTCATCTTTAAATTGGGAATTTTAATTTTATGAGCATTTGGGAAAACCGCGTTTGACGGAGCGCCACAAGGCTAGTTTATATATATAAATATATATACATATATATATATATATATATATATATATATATATATATATATATATATATATATATATATATATATATATATATATATTTATATATATATATATATATATATATATATATATATATATATATATATATATATATATATATATATATATATATATATATATATATATATATATATATATATATATATATATATATATATATATATATATATATAGTTTTGCGGTCAGACCTTTGTATCAAATAATTTTTGCCCATAATTGATGTAGACCTCAAAAAGATTAAGGTTGGCAATAATTTGCCGACCTCATGCTGTTAGTTAAACTTTCATAAGGTTAACTCTTTCGCTACCAGCCGTTTTAAAAAAAATTTTTACGCTAAAACCACACATTTTTTGATTAAAGTTTGAAAGGCATTGACAACTAGTTAAAATTTGAATTGTAAATTTTTTTGAAAGCATAATTTTGAAAGCAAACTATATAACACTAAACAGCTAAATAAATAATCTTTTTATTTAAATTAGTTTTTAACACACATCATTGAACAATAAGAAATGCAAAGTGCTTAAAACCATCTTTTTATAAATAGTAATTAAAATATTTCCAAAACAAAACTCATTTAATGTATAAAGAGAATGGTTTTCGAGACAAAAAAAAAACTTTTTTTAATTATTTAGCTCAATACCTATACATTTCTGCAAGTTAAATTTTACAGTGTTAAAGTTGCTTTATTTTACAACTGAATTTAAAGAAGTTTTTTTAAGTCAGGATTACTGAGGATTTTTTAACTTTGTCAAGTGATAACTTTTTATAATAACACAATATGATTTATTTGTTCTTGATTATGTAGAGAATTAAACCTTAAGAACAAACAAATTATATGTATCTAGAGTAAAAATTTATGTACAAAACAAGATAAGTTGTGAAACGTACTCTACCAGCAATTTGCGGTAAAAATTTGAAAAAATCAAAAGCCGCTGTCAGCGGGCAGCAGTAGTGTTAAATAATACAAAATATTTTTTTTAACTGAGTCTTAATAAGGATGATAATCATTTAATAACAATAAATAAAGCACAAAAAATAATTTATAGCAATAGACAAATTTAAAATATCTGAAATGTTTTATATTATTAATGCGAGCTTTGCGAAAGTTAGAAAATAAAATGAGTAAAGAAATTCTACAGTAATTTATGATAAAAAATTTTTTCATTTAAAATAAGTTGCTATAAATATTCTTTCATCATCTACAATAATAATTTAAAAAAATTCTATAATTTGATTAAAAAAAAAAAATTTTCAAATTTCTTAATGAAATTCTACAATGACGTCTTTACTAAAACTCTTTGGAATTAAACGCGCTTGAATAAATTATAAAGTCTGTAGATTGCGGCGTATATTTTAAAGACTTTCAGAAAGTAGCTACTGTGGAAACATTGAGTTTCGAGTAAAAAAAAAAAGTTGTTTTTATTTACATTTATTATTTACATCATATATATCATTAGACTTGTTATTTTTGACATGTTTATATATATATATATATATATATATATATATATATATATATATATATATATATATATTATATATATATATATATATATATATATATATATTATATATATATATATATATATATATATATATATATATATATATATATATATATATATATATATTTGTGGCTGATATATAAATATATATATATAATATTTATATATCAGTGGCCGGCTGGAAAGTGTAAGTCAATAAAGGCTAGAAAACAGTTTCCTATTTTTGTTTTGACATTTAAGCTGAACAGAGGGTTATACCAAATAATTTTATGTTTATGATGCTTTTTTTTTGTTGATTTTGACTTGAGATTAGTTGTGGTTGGTAGGTAAGGTTTGACTTGTATCCCAATTTTTTAAAGCCTATTCATACAGTGGAATAGCCTTTTTGAAGAATATTTCATTAACTGACATGTAAGATAATCTTTGTTCAATATTGTGAGACAAGTTGACAAAACATCAAATATGTATAAACTGTCCAAGGAGGGTTACAATAAAATAGCAAATCCAAAATTAAAAGACCTTATAAACAAAAAAGGAAAACAGATTTTAACCCACCATGAGATATATAAAAAAATTGAAATAATCGGATCCTCTAATTGTTTTTTCATTTTGAAAGACCACAAGAAAAAATTGTTAACAATCCATTTGTGCGCTTTTTGAACCCTTCACAAAATGAGGTAGGACAAGTTACTAAAGTTATTTTAACAAAAATTAATTTTAAAGTTAAAATTAAACTTTTTTTGAATCAATGGCAAAGTACGCAAAATGGTGTAGACTGGTTAAAAAAAATCACCAAGAAGCACTTATACAAATTCCTAGTTTTTGATGTTAACGATTTTTACCCTTCCATATATGAAAACACCCTCAACAATGCTATGAATTTTGCTTACCATCATATCGCTATCAAAAGTGAAAGCAAAGCATTGATAAAGCATGCACGAAAATCTCTTATCTTTAACAACGATGAAGCATGGATTAAAAAAAGAGGTGGGTTGTTCGATGTAACGATGAGGGCATTTGATGGTGTTGAAGTTTGTTAATTAATAGGTATTTTCATATTGTATCAAATATCATAACATTATAATAAAGAAGATTTTGGTCTATATCGTGAGGACAGTCTTGCTGATTTAAGAACAAAAACGGTCAGCAAATAGATAAAATCAAAAAGCATATAACACACATTTTTAAAAGAAACGATCTTCAAATCACCATTTAATCTAATTTAAAATATACTACCTCAATGTTACGTTAAATCAAAATAAAAGTACGTTTGAACTATATTTTAAACCTGATAATCAAATGAGGTACATCCACTCTAAACTAACGACCCTCCAAGCATAATAAAAGCAATCCCTCGTAATATTGAACAAAGATTTTTTTTCATGTCAGTTTATGAAATATTCTTCAAAAAGGCTATTCCATCGTACAAATAGACTTTAAAAAATTGGGATACAAGTCAAACCTTACCTACCAAACACAATTAATTTCAAGTCAAAATCAACAAAAAAAAGCATCGTAAACATAAAATTATTTGGTATAACCCTCTGTTCAGCTTAAATGTCAAAACAAAAATAGGAAACTGTTTTCCAGCCCTTATTGACTTACACTTTCCAGTCGGTCACAAGCTACATAAAATATTCAACCGAAATTCTATTAAGATTAGCTACAGTTGCATGCCTAAACTAAAATCTGTCATAAATTTGCATAATTTCAAAATTTTACACAACAACAAAAATCAATTAAAAAACAACCAATGTAACTGCGTAGATAAAGCATTTTGCCCTTTAAACAATCAATGTTTATCTAACAATATTGTCTGCCAAGCAACCATAAGTTCCAGTCATCATGATCGTAATAAAAAAGTTTATTTTGACATTAGTAATACACCATTTAAAGTAAGATAAGCAAAATCTCAAATCATTTGCATCAGTTAAGTATAGAAATGACACAAATCTATCTAAAGAAATATGGAGCTTAAAAGACCAAAACATAAAGCCTTTTAAAGAATGGAAAATTGTCAAACGTTGTAAACCTTACAATCTAGCAACAAAAATATGTCACCTTGGTTTCTACGAAAAATATGTTATTTTATCACATAATGGAAAAAACCTACTGAAAAAAAAAAACGCAATTGTATCTCAGTGTCAACATTCAAAAAAATTCTTATTATCTTTATTTGACACAAGGGACTAGTAAACTATAACAGCTTTTTCTTTTTTGATTTGTTTTTTACGTATATTTGTTTTTAACGTCAGATATCATTCTACAGTAATTTTTACATTTTTGTAACATTTAGTTTACGTTTTTTGTTTGTATTAATGGCTGATGATTGCCTTCAGGCATGAAACTCTAAGTCCCGCTAATCAGTTGTTTTTATTTATCTAAATAAAATATAGATATATATAGCTCTATTAATTAGTAATATTGAGCATAATATATTTTTAATTTTAAGAATGTACTTGTTCGTTGTGCCAAATTTTGCATTTTGCAAAATTTTACACAATGAAAATTAATAAAAAACCAAGCAATGTGCATAAATAAAGCATTTTGTCATTGAATAACCAGTATTTGTCCAACAATATTGTCTTCCTAGTCATAAGGTACTATATGATCTAAATACTTGATCATATATATATACATGATCATCTATATACATACATTATGATGATATGCATACACATACTTTATGATCATATACGAACTATACAAAAGTTTAATAGTTTTGACTTTTAATATAGAGCTTATCGCGTTTGATCAGCGGAAGTTCAGAGTTGGTTTCAAATGTGGAGATTGCATGTCAAGGAAGATTAGTAACCCTTCGCGAAGAAGAGAATTTAAGAAGAAATCAAAGGTTAAATACTAAAGTACATGAGTATATTCAAGTTGACAAATATCAAAGTTTAGCAATAATTGTAATGTTTCTTAAATGACAAAAACTTTGGGATTACCTGAGAACACTTATAAAACGTATGTTCATGGAGGAATCCCAAGGAATCCAATATTGTTGAATTTTTTTTTTTAGTTCTCAAAAAAAGTTTAATATAGTTTAATAAACATTTTATATATATATATAAATTTTTAGTTTAAAACTTTAAAATTTGACAGTTTTCATTCAAAAAAGTTTTTTCAAAAATTTATGCTGTAAGTACTTAGGTAAATCTCTGATGAATGTTTGTAAGTACTTAATTATTATACATTATTATATTTTTATAAACATATTTGAAATTTTTCCTGAGCTGTTAGTAGTTCTTCACAAGTTACAGAATAAACAAATATTTAATCATTAGCAACATTTTGTTTCTTCCATGTTTTTAATCCATTGCTACATAAAGGACTTGGTCAAGAACATGATGTTGATAACCAATGACTTGTGGTTCTTCCAGTCTCTTTTCAATAAAATGTTTTTGTAACTGACTGACAATCCCATTCTTTTTTTCAGTGTTTACATTCTTGCTATACTATATATATATATATATATATATATATATATATATATATATATATATATATATATATATATATATATATATATATATATATATATATATATATATACATATATATGCATATAGTATAGTAAGTATAGCTTATATATATATATATATATATATATATATATATATATATATATATATATATATATATATATATATATATATATATATATATATATATATATCGCCCAATTAACTTTACTTTTCAACGAGTTTTTTTCCTGATAATTTTATTTTAATAAAAAATATGTAAAAATGCACATTTTTTATTTCCAATTAAAAACCATATTTATTATGCTATTGAATCTAAAATAATAATTGTAGTATGAAATGATTATTTTTTTGAAATTTTTATATAATTTTGCTATTTTTAAGACCCAACATGAGATATAATTGAAAACCTTATTTTCTTTAAATATAAGGGACCTGTTAAAAAATAAAGTTAATCAAGCCTAAAACACATTATTTAAGCTTAAATTTTGAACTAATTTACCTGACCACAAACTATATTAAATCAAAGGGTTGCCCAAATAAAGTTTTTTTGTTTCTCTTTAATTTAAAGATTTTGCTTTGTTTGGCTGATTGTATCAACAGCTGTAAAATATCATAAAGTTTGTAAAGATAATAAGTTCTTACTTTTGTACAAGATTGTAAAGTATAATAAAGTTCATACTTTTGGTGTGTATTGTTGAGGCCACATTTAGAGTCCTTTGTTATGGCTTTTAGGGTTTATTAATAGTAATAAGGCAATTACTTGGACTATTGTGTACTGAGTACTATCAAGTTCTTTAACAAATTTTAGAATGACTAAAGTACCAAAAATTATAAAACACAAAAAAATATTGTCATCAAAAAGTTCTTTGAATCTATCATTTGCTAATATTTTTGATCTTCGAAGTAACTTTTTTTCTGTTGAAAAAAAACCAGACCCACTTGCTCTTTGTGAGATTAATTTTAGTTTGGCTGTCTTACTTGTGATCTTAGTGTTGATGGTTATCTTCCTTTAATTTGTAAAGACTCCAATAGTCACATGCTTGGCCCGGGCATTTCTAGGAATTCACCCATATGACGGGAAACTAGGTGTGAATCTTAAAGCTATTCTTTTATGTGCTTTTGTTTAGCACCACTTCACTATATTGCCTTTCTAATTGTTCTATATCGCTCTCCTTTATCTCAAGACTGCACTCTTTTCGATGTTATTTCTGATTAAATTGACCAAGCCCTTTCTCTTTATCTTTCAGCCAATATTGTTATAGTTTGTGCTTTTAATGCTCATCACACTGAATGGCTTTGTTCTTATTTTTATTGTATAACTATCTTAAAACTGACTCTTTTTGTGATTTTCTTTGTAATGGTCCTTGGGTACAAATCTTTTGTCTTTCTGGCATGTAATCCTTTGTTCCCTCTTGGCAATTCTGAGTCAAGCTCACTTCTGGAGAATTTTTTACAGTATCTATAACAAAGGTAAATCTGTTATTCCACCTCTCTTTTATTGTTCAGATTTTGTCACCTCATCTGAAGACAAAGCTGTTTACTAAGAGCTTCTCATCAATATCTTCTCTTGATTCCACTAATTGTGTTCTACCTAATATAGCCAACAAGCAGGTTAACCAATTGCTTGACCTTTGTGTCACTCCAGCTTCTGTATCTAAAGTGATTTCCTGCTTAGACTACAGTTTGTGGTCCAAACATCATACCTGTCATAGTCTTGCAGAATTGTTCTCCGTAGCTGTCATCTATACTACAAAACTATTTAACAAGTGCTTATCAGAGTCTTGTTTTCCAGCCTGCTGGTATCTGTGGAATCTGTTTCATGATGGTTTTATTGTACATTATATAGATGTGGAGAAGCTAAGG